TAAATCGTCAATTTCCATTTGTTTGTTTGTAATTACATGTTGTTTATATAGACATGCGTTTAGTGTTTATGGAGCATATATTAAGTAATCGATGAATTTTATTCCTTTTCTTTTTTTTATGTTTGTGGATTTTATTATGATGGAGTAACGTAACGCAACGCAAGGACGATCTAACAAGGGATGGGCTTCCCAGGAAGATTTTCCACGGGAAACTGGATCCAATTTATGTGATAAATACGCGAAAACTGAACGCGGTCCGGGTTCGTTGATCAGGCACGAACCTACAAGTATTCAGTGGGACCAACTAAAAGTATTCAGTGATTTTTGGTGCCAGTGGTGGGTATTGTATTTGTGAAATTATTTGCGACTTGTGTGTGTATTCGGTGGTGTTGATAAATTTACCTTTTCTTGAAGTATTGTATGTATTGTTTAGTCACTTTAGTGTATAGTCTGTCTATGCTGCCTTATTGTGCCCAGTTGTTTACATCATATATGATTATAACTTGCCTATACTTTGGCTGATTTAGACTCGTGAATTCATATGGATATTTGCCTATATAGCCTATATGTGCGCTAGGTATAAGCTATGTTTTTTATATGCCTCATTTTACATACGCTGTAGATGTATAATTTATTCATAAGTCCAAGAATAGAAAATTATTTGTGGTCATTTCTAAATTAATTAATTGAATGCAAAAATACTTCCAAATTATGCTATCCTCTTTATAAATGACCAGCAGCGAGCATCGCCTGAATAATCTACCATGTGGAACATCATTAATAACTCCGAGAATGCTTGCAACTAGTGCACACTGGCACGAATTATATGTTCTGCAGGACTTTTCATTCAATATTTACTAGTTTTATTTGTTTTTTTAGTTCGACTCTTTCGTCAGCAATTGAAACGAAGAAAGGATTTAATAGAAAGTTAATGAAAGCTGTTCCTGGGAGTATGCAAATTCCCGCGATACACTATCGAACATAGAGAACACGAAACGAATTAACTTCTAACTCCCATAGAAAGAAAAAAGAATTAAAAAAGAGCTAAGTGAACACGCTACTTAACGAGTTCTTTAATTTCTCAAGAAACTGCCATCTCCTCGGAGGTCTTTTTTTTCGTTGGCTTTTAGAGGCACTGTTTTCGATTTCTGTGCACCTAATTAGGTTAAAAGTGTCGTATTTTTCGAATTTCACACGAAAAAAAAATCCAACTCGAAGCACTTCTGAAGTAGTGCAAACTATGAATTTTAATTTGGATACGTTCAACGATCGATTATACTCTTCAAAATATAAGCTAAGAAACCTTCGTGACGACGAGTAATTTTCATTTCTCAGAAATGTGACCTAATGGAAGGAGGACGTTGCTACCGTTAAATGATAACATTCTAGCAGTATAACTGGTAAGAATCTTCGTGAAAAATGCAACTTTCGTACATAAAACGAGGATTTTAAGTGGTTTGAATCAGCAACACCACTCGTTGTGGGGGGTCGAATCAGTAACAGATATTAAACTCTCGTACGTATTTACACAGAAAAACAGTGGAGAATATAATACTCTAGCTTTGATAACAGTTAAAAGTCGCCTACATCTTATTTTTTCCTCGCTAAGCGCGACACTATGACACGTTCTTCGCCCTTCTTCCTACTTGCTAGATCGTGAAGTAATCGATAAAAAGAAAACTTCCAGTTGGATAATAATTGTTTCAATTAAAGTTAACCGTTTATATTCCTCGTTGTGCAGTGGGGTTGGCTGTCGGTGTTAGATAAGAGAATAAATGTAGCACGTTCTACCGGCTGGCAGCAGTTACTGATAACTAATCCTAATCCCTTGTCGTATTTTTGGCAAGTTTAGGTAGCCGTAGATAGATTAGTGTGAAACGAAAATGGATAAACACGTCTCGTCAGCTACGAACCTCATCCACATTCATTTATTCCTTTACTGTGTTACGACTATAGTCGTTTATCTTCGTGAAAGAAAATAGAAACAATGATCTGTTGCAGTTAGCGCGTCACAACGGTGATTTAATGTCTTTCCGTGCTTAAAATTGTGTTTCTGTAACGGAAAAATATCGTTTTATATATATAGGAAACTTCCAACTACACCAGTGAAAATGCGTTATAGGAAAGAATTAATTTCCTGGATTTTTTAATTACACGTTATTTGAATATGCAAATTAGTTTCTTAAATTATACATAAAATATGCTCCCGTATACGTTTCGTATTTTAGACTGATGGAAGAAAGAAAAAGACGTTACACGACCAGTTTTTTTTGTTTTATTTTTTAAGAAGATTTTTATGGAGGAATACAAAATAGGGCACCTACACTCGCTAGAGCATCTCCTCGACTACAAGTAACTCCCGAGATGTACGAAAATTTAACAGAATGTGAACGTATCGACGAGATACGTGCACGAATTGTCATTTTACCGTGCGTTTATCTTTCGATTTTATGTCCTTTCCAAGGTCGTGTATGCAGAGTTGTTGTTTCGGATGGAGTGTTCGGCAAATCTCTAAGTAATTCCACTCGCTCCACTAGGAATTCTTTAGACTTCAATATTAAAATTTCATCCGAAGGATCTCGTGTATATAAAAATTCAAATGAAACAAGCCATCTTCTTGCTTCGGTTTTCTCTTCCTTTCAGTCTTGTCACGTTCGATTCTTGTTTTGTTTCCTAGAACGTGGTCTTCAATCAACTTAATCGCTTCAATTACTTTTGCCAGAGACTCGACCTCGTGGGCAACGTTATCTAACGAATGGTGCGGGCCTTAAACCCGGTGGGACGTTTTAAAAGTTTCCTATGACGAATAGCACACGGTGACGTCGTTCTGGCAAATAACCTAAATGTCCTGCTCCTAACTACCATATATCATTTATATTCCACCATAAAAACAATTCTTCTTCTCGTAAAACATATCCAAACGCATTCTTTACCACTTTTAAATGGCTCCGACTTATTAATTTCATAACTTTTAATGCTCCGCTTCGCGGCAGGTTGTCTGTCCGGCGTGTAAGAGAGTAGACATTTCGACTTATCCGGGCTTTAATAAACGAGAAGCGAGAAAAACAAGGCTAAATTTAAACGCGGAACAAAAGTGCTTAGAATAGTTTTGCCGAGGGGGAGAGAAAAGTTTTGCACTTTCGTTAATTCCGGGAAAAAAGCAGCTCGTAAATGAGAAAACGTAAACGCTCTCTAACGGCTTAAAGGCTCGGTTTTTCATTTCTGAAAGTGACAACGTTGTCGAGTTAAGAAGAGTATCGAAAAAAGTTTCTACCTTTTTGCAATTTTTTCACATCTGTAGCCATGGCTACGGCATAACTGGTTCGTGTTCAAATGATTGTGTGTGAGAAATGACAGCGTGCCAGAAGAGAGGAACAATGAAATTTCCTCACAACTTCCGACAACGTTTCTCTTATTTTTTTTTTTTTACATTCTTTTTTCTTCTCTTCTCCTCGCGATTATACAAATATTAACTACATTTAAAGTATCGGACGTTTTATGTAAGTGATTGAATTCTCAAACGGAAGAGTTCAATTAGTAGCACAAAGAGTGCGTAAAAGAACTATCGATCCCTCTGACAAATTAATTCTTGAAGTATTTAAACAGATGTATCTTTTCGCACCAGTTAGCGATTTGTTTAAAGAGATCTCTTCCTTTTTTTTTTTCCTTGTTGGAGTTGTCTTTGTCCCCTCTTTTTTCATTATTGATGTAGCAGTTTGAATGGCGTGTGGAAAAGCAATCAAAAGGTACAACTAAATTGATTTCTGTTGTTGGTCTTAACGGTTTATAGAAGAATAAAATAAAAAGAGCGAGAGAAACAGAGAGAGGTGAGGGTGGGGGTAAGGAGGACTGTGTTTGGACGATTACGCTAGTAAAAAGACACATTGACAAATGGCAAAGTCCTTTAGTCCGTTTGCTCATAAATCTAAGAGTCGATACGCCGGTGTCATTCGCTTGGATCCTGTTGCGCTTTTTGTGTGCATTTTATGTTTTTCTCCCTCTTTTCTCTTTTCAGTCTTTTGCGCTCTCGATATCATCATACACACACATTAAATCCGCACACATACTACATTAAAACTACATACGTTAAATCCGAACGGGTTCTGCGACTCTTGCGACATTGTTTCACACGACAGATAGTTGCAGAAATTGGCATTGCACCACTTCGAAAACGGTTAATTTCACTGTTTTTTTCAAACGTTTTCGCAGTAATCCCTTATTTAATCTCCTCTTTCCGATTCCGTTAATCCGTGTCGATGCGGTTTTATGCTCTATCCATCCATCCATCTAGCTGTCTACCGTTTCTAAGAATGTATTCGGGACAATTTTAAGGACTAACAAATAAATAAAGAATTTTGAAGAATTGATACGTCAACCTATTCCAACAAAGCTTAATTTAGTGTAAATATGGGGAAAAGTGAGTTTCGATCTTCATCGATTCTTCGAGATGCAGACGAGAGATGCATGCGTACACGTTTTCGTGTACACACACACACACACCCATCTCTTCATTCAATCTTCTTGCTACAAGATTGGTTCTGTTTCTATTTACACAGTGTGTTTTTGCAAATAAAGGATTTCGAAACATTCCGGATTAAATTTTACTTACATCTTCAGTAAATTTTTTTATATATATATTTTTTATTTTTATCTTTATTATCTTTCTTGAGTGATGAAAATCTTTTCATCTCAGAAAAGCCGCTAGGCCTGCGTAAAGTAGTTTATAAGTTATATATATTATGCGTTGAATAAAACAGTTCTCTATTTTTCATATTCCATTCCGCCGGGAACTAAACGATATTTATCACTGCTAAACTAACAACTAAGCTTACACATTAAAGAAGAGGAGAAGGAAGAAAAAAAATTAACCAGATCGGCGGGGCTTTGCATATATTAACGGAGCCATCTGTCAGCGACAGAACTATATAACTATATATATGTATATATAGTTCTGTATATATAGGCCTATATATATATATATATAAAGGTTTAGCAATGTCAATTTATAAATCGCAGGTTTTGAAGTTTAAAAAAAAGGGATGATGCGTCTGTATACGTGTTAACTTCCTAACCAAACGCATATGTCACGCCAGGCACGCACCACAAAAGTTGCTGTTTGGAAAAGCATGGACGTTTATTTTACGGATTTTGTGGCCTACACGAGGTACCTACTTAACGCGCGTGATGCGATTACGTTACCCGTTACGTCAAAATGCCATAAAACAAGTGAATAACGTCAAAAAATACCCCGAATCCTAAGCGTAAAAGCACTACGCGCTCGGTTCTGGCTGCGTATTAATTAAGTGAAAACGAACCGACGTCACCGCTCGCTTTAATTAGTTTATCAGAAATTTAAAGTCTGGACAAAAATACAACCCGCGACGGAGAGCAATTATTAAATTTTAGGAGTTAATAAAGCGGTACGGTAGTATTAGATTACCCTTACCATGCCACAATTAGTAGAAAAGTATGCAGAAAACTACGTTTTTGGCATTTCTCTTTCTATCATGCGCCCGAAAATACTTATTAATTTAAATTTTGCCAGCTCCATTTACGTTTTATGCACGCTTCGTTGCAACCTTACTTTTTAGAAAGTATGTTTAGTGTTGGATAGAGACATGGCGGGCGAAGATGTGACACTTGGCACCTCGATGACGTTGATCGAAGTGTATCGTCGAATCACATCTGCTGGCTTGTTTTTACTTCTTTGAAACGTTTCTTCTTCTTGGCTTAAACTAGCTCCTCCCATTAAAACCGGGTTTGAGGAATTTAATCCCAGTTGGGCCTTTGTTTATAAATCTAAAAAGCTACAATTCTCTTTGGTTCAATTATCAAAAGGCGTCATTCTGACGTCATTGTCGCTTAGTTACCGTCGTTTAGGATGTAGAGAACCTGTGGTGTGTGAATCGGGACCGCCAATAAGGTGGTGTTTTGGTAATTCCACTCTGGTTTCTCATCTTTGTAGGTGACACTTGGTCTGAAATGCCCTTTAAAAATTAAATAAAACAAAACAAAATTGCGCAAGTTGTTTACGACAGGAAGACATGTTTATTCTAGTTCTACCCTCAAATTTTAATTTATGGCTGGTAATTAACGAAATAATGCATTTCGTTCTAATTACTTATGCGTTTTACGATCGCGTTTCCTGTTTATGATGACATACGCCGTATTGAGGACGCCGCTTTTCTTTCGACTACGTGGCCATTCTTGTTTCCACTCCAGTAAACCTACGATTCTGTTTTAAACAGAAGTACACGTAACGTACACGACATTACGTGCATCGAGTGTAACTTATAACACGAGCGCCACGTGTTGGAAAAGTATGTATTTGTAGTAGATATTCACAATTTAATTCGTGGAAAGAAGCATTCATTTTTTTAATTATATAACATTGCAAAACATCGTTATAATCATCGTTACAAACGTCATCGCTATCTCTTCGCGTTTGCGTCGGTGATTGAGATAATCGCGGAAAGATTAACTCATTATTTATTTTTTTTTAAATATTTATCACACAAAAAATGGCGAAGTTACAATCAATATATTTAATATTCCCTATTACGTCGCGAGATATCGATCGCCATCGCAAACGCCAACTCCATCGCAAAGATAGTAAACATCGAGTTTCATTGGGACGATCATTATCGCACGGAATAAAGTCGCGACTGTATAACATATGCAATTTATCCTACTCATTTTCGCCCCATTACGTTACTTTGAAGCCATTATAGTAGTGTAATTGCTAGCAGTGACACTCTCTCAACACACCGACGTCTTTTAATTTTCCGGTTGTGTACGGAGGTGTTAAAAATACATTCAGGTGGCCTGAAGAGAGAGGACTTCGTAAATCGAATTACCCGTGAAAGAGTGCGTATTTTTGATTACCAGGCATTGGTTAGCCATGTCGAAACTAGATACACAGGAATCGTAAAACCGATACAAATTATAATTACGAAGAGGCACGATGCAACCAACTCTCACGAAAATTTACGCACAGCAATCATCAATGTAACCCACTCGAGTGATATTAAATTTCTTCTTTTTTTAAGTACTGCCATTCGTGACCGAATTATGACGTTTTTTAAATGTTAAAATCGACATCGGCGTGAATTTTTGACGAGATTTTTTAACGTTTTTTCTAGAGATTTAGACGTGATGTCGATTTCGTGATAGGCGCCATTTTAAATTAATTCGTTACGCGGAAACGAATGAAAGAAAAAAATAAAAAAAAAATTTTCGGTCACTCGTAAGATTTTCTTTCCGAATTTACATTCGATCCAATTATTTTCCAATGGTAGAATAATTAATTTAAAATTAAATTTTAGTTATGTAGACGCACAGATTTTTTTTTGGAAAGAGGAAGGAGGAAAAAACACGCAAAAGAATACATAAATATGTTTTTTTCTTTCTATCGCTTAAACTAAAATATATATCATTTACTTGTTTTTTTTTATATTAAAAATATTTTCGACACATTTGTAGCAGAAATAAACTGGCGTGCATTTTGGTTATTTTTTTAGATCGCAATATGTTACATTTCTCATCGTTATATCACACGATTCTAACCCGTATTACCCTTAACTAAATGTCATATATTTATATGTCATAACCGTCAGACTTAACATAGATCCTTAACTATATATAAACTTATATATCTTCTAAGATATGATCCTTAATGATTAACTTTTATTACGGGTTTTTGCCATTTATTCGTGTCTATAAAGGAAAAGAGGAAAGATTTTAATAAAAAATATTAAGTGCCATATAATTTATAGCCTTTTTTTTAAACCAGTTACTTAAAAAATCGCGTGAAAGTACTGGTTAATTCAGCTAATAAGCTTAACATGCTTCTGAAAAATGACATCCTTTTCATTTCTCAAATAAAAAAAAATACAATAATAATAAAAAAAATAACTTTCGTAATCTAAAGGAAGGTTTTTATCGTGGGTTTTATAGTGTATAAAGCTATTTAAGATAACCCCACCCCAAGATCCTTTATGGCACCGTCGTCCTCCACTCCATTTCTCTCCACTTTTGATGGATGTATCCATTAAAGGCTCCTCTGCGTGTGAAGTTTTCGAAAGGAAACATTAATTGCAGAATTTTGAATTTAATTTACAGACTTTGTGGCTTGAGTCCAGCTCGTCTGTTACTTTTCACCTCCTTTTATTTTTCTTTCTTTTTTGGTAAAGTTGTGAAAATATCAGAAATCGAAATTTGTGGAAGGAGCCAGAAATTGCTTTTAAAACTTATAAATACCTATAGATAAAGATGTTCACGATTTCTTACCAAGTTTTTTCCCTTCCATTCTGAAGATTCTAGGTTAAATCATTCTTTTCTTCAATCTTTCTTTGTTATTGCCTACTGTCTTTAACTCTTAAATATAAAATTCTTTTCCTTAGTCTTTGATATCCGAACTTTTTGCGCGCTTGAAACTTTTTCATCTAAGATTTTATTGAATAATTATATAGATTTGAAGCTTCTGAAACATTTGTGCGGAAGTTTCTTGTCTGTTTCACTCTGAAAAATCAATTTTAGGTTCTAAGATGGCATCTACAATAATTATACAGTACTGTATTAACGCAATGTGGACGTATTTCTCAAATTTTTGTTTGTAGTCTTCTTTATACTTGTATTATTTCATTAGAAGTTTATTTTAAACTGTGCAAATGAAACGTTCCGTGTTGAAAATGTAATTCTTGGAACCCAATTAAACTAAGCTCTACATTATTTTTCAAACGAGAGCATTTGCGATTTTAAAACTATTGTAATTAATAAGCAAATAGGGGTGTTGGCCCAACTGCATGCAACACGCAACTTTCTTATAAAAGTTTGTGACCAGGAAGTACGAACGGGTATCAAATTATAAATGTGCGCCAAGGCGCGACGTGTGCAAACTCATTCGGAGTCAATCGAACCCAATTGCAATATTGGCAACTTTTGCTTCTACCGTGGCAACCGACTCGTCTCATTTCTACAGATGGGGAGAGAATAGGCGAAAACAGCGTAAGATGGAAAAAATTTCACATATATTCACTGCATTACTTGGAAGAAAAATATTCTCGTGTAACACAGTTGTGGCACATAAAAGGAATTTTGAACCTCATGCCGGTTTGAATGATTGCGGAATGTCATCCCGCCTTCTTACCCTGCAGAATACGAAATTCCGGGAAGACGACCAGACAACTATGTTCCGTCTTCATTTGTCAATTTGACAGAATTTGGGATACAGGATGGCATATTAATGTCTTTCCTAGGGGCACGCTTTAGTGTCGAGTGACGATTAAAATTCGGAAATTCAATTTCTGCCCCGAAGCGCCCAAATGTCGAAACTGAGCGGATTCTTTTAAGCGAAAGGCCAAAACTTGTTACTTTTTTCTTTTCATTGTTCGATACGTATGTCGGTGAGAGAACAAACGTCTCTCTCTTTATCGATTCTTTATCGGAGTCAGGAAGCAATGGATTCTTCCGGACTACGATACGATTATGACTCGTGGTTCTTACATTCATTCAATGTTTTTACTGCCATGACAACCAGTTGCGATACCCAGACATCCCGAGTTTTGCTGTTTTTCTCCCTCTGTATAACGTTTTTTTTTTCCATATAAAATATCCATCGATCGTCCAGTAGATACGAAGAAAAGGAAACGTAGCATTTAATTTTATATATGATTATCTTAGATGTAATCGTATCATGGAGCGAAGTTTGTCATGTGCATTAGCGTCGTAAGGCTGCAATGATAATTTGTTGAAGCTGAGAGGTTTCTTTCGTTGACGCCGTTATCTCGCTAGTTATCGAGGTCGAGATAGGTCAGCAGAACAATTATATCCGACAAAATAGCCAGATGCCATCGTTATTTTTAGCAGGATAGGCTATAATATATCCGGGTTTCGGCTTTTTATCCCCCATTCAACTGTCAGAAAAGATAGGTTTCCCTTTCATAAGTTATCGATTTGTTAAGATAAACCCGAGCTCTCTAAAGAATGCCTTCGTAATTAACAGTTAGAATTTCTTACCTTTAAACAACTACATCAATTGTGAGTTTAATGCTTTGTTTAAGGTTGAAAGAGTCGCTGTCGCTTTCAATGGAAAAATCCTGTAACCGCTCGCTGAGTGTTTTCCGTTCTGCTTAGTTTCGCAGAATAAGCTTTAAGCGTGAAACATTTTAATGCTAACAGACTAATAAAATAGGCAATTAAACAACTCGTGAAATTTTGTCATTCCAAAATTCCTGATGTGGTTAGAAAGGTGAGAATAACTTTGACTTTCTCAAATGGGGCTCACTTGAATGGTTAGACATAGTTGACATATTTTTAAATAAAATTTTTAATTATATAATATATTATATACAGTATGTCTTAGATAATCAGAATATAAATTTGTTAATATTTAATTGATTTTGTTGACGTTTGACACCAGTTTCGTGTTAGTTTTGACATAGTTTTCATCATTATTTCGGATCAAATCCTTCAATAGGATTGGCAAACACGGATGAAGAATGAGGAACGACATCTCGACTAAACTGAGGATCAAGATCGAATCATATGATACTTGTTATCTGAGGAACTTTTATGAAAAGAATGCTTCTTTTTTAAGTGCCTAAATATTTTAAATTATGTTTTGTTCTGGAAATTAAGATATTTAATTTAATAATCTTAGCACCTCACTCAAATATATAAAGCTCTCTTTCTTATCTATTCATGAACTCTCACCATACCCCTCACACCACCTACAAGCAATAACGTGAATTATCGATTCGAGTATCTTCTTCCTGTTAATTTTTTTTCCAAAAAATTTAACCAATATTTTTATTTTAAAAATTTGTCTAATTAGCGCACGTCTACGTGACAATAAAAACACGAAAATTTCATGTAAACTTAAATCTCTTTCAATTTTTACTGATTATTTTGATGCGTTTTTTACGGCTCAATCTGGCTCGTCGAAAATATTTATTTTCGTTACTTCTTCCCCCCGCTTAAAAAAATAATCCGAAAAGAGAAAACCCGTACTGCACGCGACTCACGATGTTTCATAGCCGGCTAGTCACGAAATCCGTGACGTCAGCGAGTGTCAAAATTCCCTATCGGACACGTGTTATTGCTTGAATTTAGATTATTACTTCTTCCCTAATCCAATCATCTCGCTTAATTGGAGATGCGTATTTAGATTCACCCCCCACTCGTGTCTGCTTAAGTGGAATAGTTTCGTCCTCTCCTCTACATGGCACCGCGGCTCCACTTCGTAAATCATAATAAATATAGGCCTATTCCCATTGCTGGAATTAAATAGATTTTCCCGTGTTTTGCTTCTTTATTCATTGTTTATCTCATTATTTATTCACTTAACTTCTTTTGGACTCGATTAGCGACGTTAATTAGAATTTTCATCGCATGGCATGGCTCCACGATAATCGATTTATCGCGATGGTGTTACTTTTTTTTTCAAACCGCTGAGTGTCTTTCTAACCCTTGTAAATCTACTGGATGCGTTGGTTCGCTTCCAACATTTTACTATATTTTTGTTTACGTGGCGGTGAAATTTAAAGATGGCCGCTTCGAAAATATTCATCACGAAACTATGAATAATTTAGAGTCGGGAGTATATCGACTGACGCTTCGGTAGTACTTTCGGTCGTTACAGAGTAAAAATGCTCCACTTTCGATTTTTAAATCCCTGTCATTATGCCCCGTTTTAGTAAAATTTTATCTCATTATCTTAGGGCGTATTTGTTTTCCTAACTCACCGGATAATAAGGACGTTTTCCACAATGTTTAATATGTAAGTGGCACTGCCAATAACTGCTCTTGACAAATGCTTAATTGGTAAATTAACGAATTTGTCCTCCGGCAGATTAGATAATAGAAAGAAACTAATAGAACGTATCTATTGCTATCTAACTATTCCAATTTGTTATTATGTCTGCCTTGCAATTTCCTCATAAATTCATTAACATCTGTTTAATGGCTCCGTCTGGATGAGGTCGGAGGTGCAGTACTCTATTCAGGAGCATTTTTTTTTTTGCTTTGGAAGGGAAACGTATATATAAAAGAAAAATCGGTTATAGGTCATTAGTGAATTGTTGACACACATCGACTTTAGTCGAAAAAAAACGGAGTAATTCCCATCGTTGTTGACTTAAGTTCATAGTTCTCACCGCTTCAAGACTGTCGTAACTGTCGTCTCTGTTTGCGTTTTTCGCTAGTTACTTCACGCTTATCTTTTAGTTTCGTTTCGAAATAAATGCATAAATAACAAAAGCGATTAAAGCCTCTTTAACTCGTTTCATTACCCCTGTTTAAGAGCTCATAACAGAAACGATGATGCGAAACCCTTCTTTAAATATAGATGATGTAACAAGTTGCAGGGTTCTCTTAATATTCAATAAAATAAAAGTAACTATAATATTGGAGAGAAACTAATTTTCTAGAATACATTCTTGGCATTGGCAGAAATAAATTTAGCTCGACTGTTCCCAAAGGTGATTTCCTGTAGATGCTTATAGGGAGTATGTTGGAGATATAGGCTTGTTCCTGTATGGAAGAAAGTATGATGGAAGCCGGGAGTGTCTAAGAATTGAGTATCTGTATATTTATTTCAGGCTAACGGTTAGTTAGAAGTTGTATAATGTATTTTATACGGAACCGGATGTTTATTTTTACTTCTTTTGATCGATTTCAAAGATTTATATCGTGCTTAGACGTTGTATCGGTTCGTTATATAATGAAGGCTTTTTGAAATATGCGTCTCGTTCCGATTTGAGTGTGTAATTTGTAAACACGAATTGTTTCACATAAACAAAAATTAAAGAAAAATAGGTTAAATTTATGGCGTTTGTACCTAGTAAATTATTTCTGAGGTAGTTTAGAGTAAGTTAATTTTAAAATTTTTATATTACTGCGCTTAATTTAGTCGGAATGACATTTTTTTTTATAACTGGAACGTAGTAAGAATCTTCAACTAAATAAGTACATGTCGAGTGCTGAAATCATTAATCATTACTTGTCACCTACACTTGCTTCGATTTTTATATAAAAATTATAAATATTTTGTTTCCGTTCTGTTAAAGTAGCGCGTGATAATGATTTTTTATTAATGAAAGAAGAAATTTTAACACTAGAGAAATCACGATTATCAGAGATATATATAGAAGAAAGTGTGAACCTAATATAATCTGATAGGGAAATTATTGTCTAAACCTGTTGACTGGTTTAAAAGACGAATAAAGTTAATATTCACGAAAAATGGGGAAAAGGGTGCGTGTTTGGCGAGTGTCAACGATAAATTGGTAAGAAGGAGGAATTAAAGGAAGCAGTTGTTCCGAGTAAAAAACTGTATAAGCAAGGCTGTAAGCCTATTGCGGTTGACAGCTGCGCGAAGGCTCTCTTTGTCTCTGTCCGTACTCCCCCTTGCCTGGGCGTTTCCTACTGGTTGGAGCAAAAGCGATCAATATTTGCGGGTGCGCCTTTCGTTTCTCTCCTGTCTCTTCTCTGTTTCTCACTCATACTGGACACACTGTGTGTGTCTCCCTTGCCGTACGATGGAAAGTGCGACAAATCGGCAGTCGTGGCGACGGTGGACTTATAATGTGTTAGTGGATCTGGGCAATCGGCGCCCGGTCCTTATAAAAGCTGTGATGCGTGCGTTAGCAACAGTCTGCCGTGTTGTATGGAGAAGTGTTGGTGCCATGTTGGTATAATCCGGCCTTGTATCGCTGGTCGATCCATCTCCGAAGTGGACTGCCTAGCAATGGCTACTTTCCGACGAGGGACGAACGAGTGAAGTTCCCATTTGTTTGTGGCTTATATGGTGTTACCGATTACGTGGGATGGACGGGGTACGTAATTTAAAACACTCCGTTTCACCTGATTACTATACTATGTTTAGTGCTCATGTAGAACAGGCCGTGGATGCTTTTATGGAAAGATTAGCCGGTAGGTTAGGCGAATTGGAAGTAGAACTTCGTTATGCTTGGAGAGCTGTGGATCTTCTCTCTCAGGAATACGTCAAAATGTGGGAAAAACTCGAAAGGCTAGAGATTTTATTATATGAACAGCAAGCAGTTATAACACAGCTTCTGACTGTGATTAAAAATGGTGGTGATGTTCCTGATTTAGATTTTTTGCATGGTGGGTCTGATTCTGTTGCCAGTGATCCCTCTGTGAAAGAAAGGTTGGATCTCAAGCATGTTGTTGATGTGGAATCCAGTGACTTGTCCGAATCCGAGTTGCTGGGCATTTCTGGATATAATTTGGAAGACGATGTGCGAGAAAATGATCCGTCTGCCAAATGGAATAAGAGGTGCCTATTATTTTCAAAATATTCTGATATGTCGAGTCGAGCGAGTCCAGATTGGGGTAGTTGTAGCTATGTTAATACGGATTTTCAAATTGATGGAGGAAGGGAGACTCCCAAAGAAGTTTTTACTGCATCGGATTACAAGATGTACCGAAATGGTTCTCCCTGCATCAGTGAGAAAGATCTTGAAGAACTGGATAGATTGTCGGCTAATTTACATAAAGTATCCACCACCTCGCCAAGTAGTGGGAGTATTCAGGATCTCTGCAGATCTCGTAACATTCATAGCTATCTTGGTAGTCCCTTTAAAAACAAGGAACCAATAGCTACGCAGAATAAAGATACCAATGTAGCTTTATCAGACACAATTTCTATTTCAAATACTTTAGACAGAAATAAAATACCTACATTTGATAATTATCCAAACATTTCTACATTTGATAGCAGTTTCAAAAGGGATATTGATGTACCTCATGATAGTACAAGCAGAAGAAAATTACCGTCTTTAAGTAATTTTACAAATACACAAATGACAGATATTCATTCTTCACAAATATCAGGAGAAAACAGATTAATTGGTATTCTACAATTATCACCAAGATTGAATAAAAGTAAAGAGACTACTAAGATTGATGAAACCAGTAAGCATCTTGATTTTTCTCCTCATCACAATAGTAATGTTGTGTACAGTGGTATTTCGGAAACAACACAGAATTCCTTAGTGAACAAATTTTCTTCTCCAGTGTCTTCACCTTGTATTTCTCATGTGATGCCAATAGAGGAATTACTTGTAAGTAGTACTACTGCTGATGGTAACTTTGAGATAACTCAACATACTCTTCATGGTGATTATGGTAAACTTCAAGGTTATCATACACCTTTAACACCTGTAAAAGAGCAAAGTCCACCTTCTGGAAACTCTGAAGAGTTGACAAGCCTTGGTGAAATTCAGTGGACAGAAGACAATCATAGAGAACCTGAAGGACTGCCGCCAGTTTCATCTTCTGAATCTTTGAGTCCAATTGTTAGTACAACAATAATTCAGGTAGAGGTGCATTCAGAAGCAAAAAGTAAGTTAAATGATTTATCCCAAATAATAAATAAAGCTTCTTATGATCTTGAAGATAAATTAGCATATGTTGCCTCTGACAATGCCCAATACACTGTTGATAAGACTTATGAAGACATTGCAGAGTTTGATTCTCATGTTGAGGTAGAGAACAGTTATTGTGTTGAAGAATATATATCTACATCAAGTGATGTTCAAAATATTGTTCCAATGGAACAAACTAAAGTAGATGATGAAGCATCATATGTTCAACTGCAACCTGAAGTGCAATGCCTTGACACCTATTTTAATTCTGTGCTACCTCCTCCTTCTCCACCTATGGTTACTTCAACTTCTGTTACTACTAGTCAGATATGGAAATATTCCGATGATAGTAGAATAGAAAGAAACGAATATGACAACACACCAAATACAAATTATGTTTCTGTTACAACGGCTAATGAAAGTGAAAAACATACTGAATCTTCCAACATATTCAGTGTTTTGTCCAATAAAATGACAAAAGGTTATCGTATGATGAGTATGCCTACACTTTTAAGGAGAGATTCAAAAGGTAATAAAACAAAAGCCAACAAAACTTCATCAAAAGATAGCAGTCATTCAGGAAGTACTTCTAGTTTGTTTAGTTTAGGATCTAGTCTTGAAAGTTTGAAATTAAGCCCTAAATTAAAATCTAGATCAAATAGTGTGAAAAGTGAAGGAGGTTTATCATTAACTGAAAAACAAGAAATCGAAGCCAAAAGATTATCAGTAGAAATACTTCCAACTCAGCAGAATTCATTTAGTGAACCCAGCAGTGAGTCAAAAATAAATTATTCGCCTAATATAGAACCTACCAACAGACAAGATTATGGATCATCTGATACACTTCAACAGCAGCCATTAGATAATACTGAAAGTGTCGATTATCCTCAGCAAGAAATATTTCAGAATCAAAATAATACAGAAAATGAAGGTTACTTAGAAAATGAAGTTGAATCACAGCCAATACCTGAACCACAAGAAAATCCTGAAGAATCAGGAGCTTTATTTCCTACAGTGGGCGAAGTGAGAAAACATTCATTTAGTGGTCGAGAAAATCTCGGAATTAGCCCTATGGCAGATTTACAAGATACTGCAAATGAGTCAAATGTATCATTTGATTTAAGCTTTCATTCTGTCAGTGATAGCAGACAAAGTTCTATAACACAGACAGAATATGAAAGTTTGGAATCTGCAGAAAGTGTTACACTTACTTGTGCCCAAACAGATAAAGACGGAGTTCCAGTGAAAGAACACAGAGATTCTGTTGGTTCCTCCACTAGTATGATAAGTGGTGAAGATAAAGAGTTAGAAGATAATGTAGTTCATATGTCTGATAATCAGTTCGCAACACCAGGAGATAGTAGTATGGACAAAAGTACTGTAGAAGAAAATGAAGATGCACAAATGAAAGAACTGAAAGAGCAGATGAGTCTTGAAACAAATCAATCTGAAACACAGGAAGAAGGTAATGCAATGGAAAAAAGTCCAGGTCAAAAAAATGTGAAGAGCAAATGGATGACTTTAGTGGTCTGTAAATCTTTGATTATTTATTAAAATTGAAATATATATATATATATTTTATATTTAGTTTCAATCTTACAATATTTTGAATGATTGTACTTAATTGAGAATCACCAACTGTTAAGATGATAAGCAGTTACTTTTTAATTTATGAAATAAGGTATACAATTTACTGAATTTGCAACTAATCAACTCTCATAAAACAGAAATATAGAGTAAATATTATTTAATTATCTATATATTTATAACTACATTAGTGTGTTAAAGAGAATTAGTTAGAGAATAAATTTATTAAAAGACTACCTAATTTTATATTATAATTATTTTTAGTTAAATTCTGGTATTAATTATCATACATTATTTTTATTTAAAGAAAGTATAGTTAAATAATTTTAATCTAGAAATGAATTATTGGTATAAAGTGACTTTATGGATATAATGTTTAGTACCGTAGAACATAATTATAGAAATAGTTATAGATTAGTTTATATAATAATTTAGTACATAGACTTTCCCTTTAAAAATGAATTAATAATTGCCTTTAGATATTTTTATGAAATTCAAAATAGGACAGCATTGAATAACTTTAAATGTGTGGTTTAATTGATAATTAATACTCGAAATATGTTAGCAGATTTGACTAAATTAATATGGTAATTATTTTAATTAAATTCAATTTAAAATTAAATTCATTCTTTTTAGAGATATATTCATTATTAATTACTGGGTTTTATCTTAAATTATTTTAATATATTTAATTAAAAATATACAAAATAAATAAAGATATAAAGGTTTTAAGAGATAATCCAATTAATTATAGATTAATTCTTTTTTCAAAATTGTGATAAAATTAAAAACATATTGTCCAAATTAGAGACAAAATTAAATAAGAGATTTTAATTGCTAAATTAGTTTTATAAACTATAGGTTAAATGGAAACAAACTAAATACAGTAGTTCTTTTCAATTATTTTCTGATGATTTTTCTTATATGGTAATAGGTTAGGCAAATAAAGGATTTTATAGAACTTTCAATGCTTTGTTCTGCAAATAGACACAATATGTTAGAAATAAGTGATGGATATTTTACTTTCAAATTAAACTTTAAAGTTTTTTTAAATGACTAGTAGTTTATCTTCTTTAAAAAGAAAATGAGTTAAAGTTTTATATATATATATTCAGGTAATGTAACATATTCATAAGATTTAAAAATTGTCTTAGATATTAACTATCAAATATAGATAATTTATATATTTTTCTTTTACATGAAAGATTAAAATAGAACATTTATTAATAGAGGGGAATGAAATCTAAACTGGATTGTTAACAAGTGAATTTGGCTATGAATCAACATTACTGGATATTTTTATAGTGTAATCTCTCAACATTTTTGGAATCTCCTATAAATATTAAATTAGAAAGTTTTTATAAATCAGCTGACTATCTTCGTATTTTTAAATATATCTTTCACTTTAGTTAGTCTTTTTTAAATTTAGTTGAAAAGTTAGCTTATTTATTTAAGTAATAAGGAAATTGTTGTTATATCTATAAATGACTATTTATTAATTTTATTAAATATGCCTTTGATTAAACAAGTGGAAAATTACATTTTAGAGAATTCTATTTTTCTCAAAAATTATTAAATATATAAAAGTTTAAAATAAATCAGCATTTCGATTTTAAATTATAAATTTGATTTTTTCAATATTGTAAAAATAAGTCATCTAAACTTTATAACTTATATTTTGGAAGCAATTTTTTGTTTATTTGGTGGAAATTTACTGTAACCTCAATTTTATAAAAAAAAAACAATTTTCCACACCTGCTATACACATGATTTAGAAGAGACCAAAAGTTTTATGACTACAGGTCATATTGCTTATATAAAAATGGTGTTTGTTATTTTCTACAAAAATTACATGCTTCATAATATCCACTTCAAGATTTGGCACATTTCATTCGTTATTAATCTCAATTTTATCAGGAGAACAATTTTTTTGTAGTTAGGTCAGAACATATTTCTTAGGTAGCATCACATGATCACAAATCATTAATGTATTGTTGAATTTTTATTTTATTTTCTATTTTTAATTCATTGTTATTCATAATTAATTTTCTGTTTATCATCATTAACTTGCTATCATTCTGTTTGGCAATATAAATTTATTTGTGTTCTTGACTACCAGCTATAAGTAATTTTGTTAACTGATGACGAATTTGATAATTAATGAGATGTTATGTTTGGTCTTCTGATTATTCAGTGTATGCTTTTTATCTTTAATAAAATTAATAATGATAAAGTTCTTTACCTTAATTTAATAAATTAATAAAGTAATCTTTATATATAAATAATGTTACATATTTAGTATTATTATAATTTAATACATGAGAAAAGTATATTATGTAAATTGAATGTTTTTAGAAATTAAAAAAAATGTATTTACTATAAGATCAAATTTTCTTAAAACAATTTAAGATTTTTTTATAAAAAAAAATATAAGAATATAATTGAGGAAAAAATTTATTCTGTCTTAGCTTTCAGATAAAACAATGGAAATTAATTATAAAAAAACAGGTTAAAATACATACTTTATATTGTATATAAAAAATTGTCGAATTAGGAAAAAAATTGGTATCATTATTCATGTAATAGCACATAATGTAAGTTAAAAATATCGTATATAATAATACAGAACACGTAAAGTAATAAATGAATTTGTTTAAATTATTATTGAATACAAATTATCAAATTGTTTAAATAAATTTGTTAAAATATTATAAAATTTAAAATGATTTTTTTGAAGAAATTGTTTTATATTTAAACATTTTTTAAAAATATATATTAATAATTATTATTTTGTTGTAATAATAGTTAATTATTCTTTAATATTTTAGGAGAAATTTAATATAAGTTATAGTTCTGATAGCTTTGATTTTTAATTATTAATAAATTAGTTTAACCTTCTGTTAAACAACTTGATTGTTTTCTATAAAATATTAATAGACAGTGTTTAATTTTCATTACATTCCTAAAATTGTTAACAAACAAATGGACAATAGATTCTATTTATTATATTTCAGATATTTCTTATTTTTCTATATATATAATAATGATATCATTAATAAAAGAACTATAACAAATTTTGGTCATAGGTGTCTTTAAAGGAGATTTTGATTAATATTAAAAAAATGAGTTTGTATTGGGAGTTAATTACGGTGTTGTTCTGCTAATTATGTGAATAAAATTATCATAATTAAGGATATTTTGAAATTGAGAGTTTATTATTATGATTTTCCTGAGTTTTGTGTTTTGTATTCTTCTTTAGTTTAAGTTAGCTTCTGGTGTTCCCATTTTTCAAGTCATTTTAAATTATCTGATATGATGTTATAGTACAATTTAAAGAATATTTAAGAAAAAGTTTATTAATGTTAATAAACTGTACCTAGTTCTGATAATTTTTTTTGTAAAAATAATTGTCTATTCCTTTTTTTTAAGCATAGCTTTATATGTGAATTTAAAAAAAGAAAATCTACTGTTGATTTAATATTATTAAAATTAAATGAAACTTTTTAAGATCTGATTTCTGTTTTATCATTTAATAATTGACTTATTAAGATTAGCCAAAGGAAGTTTTCTTACTGTTAGTGATAAGAAAATTGAGAAATCATTTTTTAAATTGAGTTTATCTTTCTTATAAATTAATTGTTTTATCAGTTTGTTCCAGTTTTCACGACTAACTTTGCATCTGTTATGAAACTGAACAATGATTATGTATTCAGAATTATATTATCTGATTATAAATTTAGGGAATCAGATAAGAAAAGTTTATCATATAAATTCAATTTTAAGTTTGATTTCTCTCTTGTTGTCTTGGAATTGTTTTGTTTTTTTAAAATATTTCTTATGCAATAAGAAAATTTATATTTGATTTTTCAATAATTATATAATTATATTCACTTTAAAATGTTATATCAACGATTCCCAACCTTCTTCGGGTGGCGACCCCTTTTTATAAAAGTCAAGTGACCCGCGACCACGATACAATTGAAAAAGGCATTTAATTAAAAAAAAACAACTAAATTAGTTTTTTTAGTATAATTTTATTTTAAATTATGTTTAATAATTAATTTAATGCAATGGTTGAAATTGCACGTTATTAACAAGCCTCAAAATTCGCGAATGAGTTTTTGTTAACGACAATCTCGTGTCATTCTCAACATTTAACTTATTCTTTTCAAACTCTCAACACATGTTTCAACCAACTGTGACAGAATAGCGTACCTAGATTACTCTTATTTTAATTTTTTAAAAAATATATGAAATTATTCAAACTTCAAAACACCATTAAAAATAAAAATTGCATTATAGCACTGTATAAGTTGGTGACCCAACAGAAAACCCGTCGCGACCCATAGGTTGGGAACCCATGTGTTATATGTTCTTATAATCAGTTTTCAAAGCTAAAAAATGAATTATAGCACATAATCAGTTTAATAGCACATAATCAGTTTAATAGCACATAATAAGTTTAATANTTCTGATAATTTTTTTTGTAAAAATAATTGTCTATTCCTTTTTTTTAAGCATAGCTTTATATGTGAATTTAAAAAAAGAAAATCTACTGTTGATTTAATATTATTAAAATTAAATGAAACTTTTTAAGATCTGATTTCTGTTTTATCATTTAATAATTGACTTATTAAGATTAGCCAAAGGAAGTTTTCTTACTGTTAGTGATAAGAAAATTGAGAAATCATTTTTTAAATTGAGTTTATCTTTCTTATAAATTAATTGTTTTATCAGTTTGTTCCAGTTTTCACGACTAACTTTGCATCTGTTATGAAACTGAACAATGATTATGTATTCAGAATTATATTATCTGATTATAAATTTAGGGAATCAGATAAGAAAAGTTTATCATATAAATTCAATTTTAAGTTTGATTTCTCTCTTGTTGTCTTGGAATTGTTTTGTTTTTTTAAAATATTTCTTATGCAATAAGAAAA